ATAAATCTAGTCCCATTTGCCAGTATTTGGCCCATATACTTCTAAACCCTTCCTATTCATACACCTATCCAGGTGCCTTTTAAATGTTGTAATTGTACCAGCGTCCACCACTTCCTCTGGCAGCTCATTCCATATACACACCACCCTCTGCATGAAAAAGTCGCTCCTTAGGTTTCTTTTAAGTCTTTCCTCTCTCGCCTTAAACCTATACCCTCTACTTTTGGACTCCCCGACCCTGGGAAAAAGGCCTTGGCTATTCACGCTATCTGTACCCCTCATGATTTTATAAACATCTATAATGTCACCTCTCAGCCTCTGACTCTCCAGGGAAAGTAGTCCCAGTCTATTCAGCCTGTCCCTATAACTCAAACTCTCCAATCCTGGCAACATCCTTGTAAATTTTTCCTGCAAAATATAATACACTTCACAAATTTGCATGTCATGTGTGCGAGCTATTTGTTTTAAAAGTAGCTCAAATTCAGAACTGTTCTGAAAAAAAGTACCTTCGACCCAAAACATTAACTCTGTGTTTCTCTTTCACAACAGGTGCTGGCCAGTCCTGCTGAGAATTTCTAGCATTTTCTGTTTTTATTTTTTGTCTCTTTCTATGTGTTTTTTTTCCAAAAAAAAATCAAAAACTTTATAAAAGCCCATTATGTAAAAGTTCAAACTGAACATGACATAATTATGGTACATGAGGTGCCTGACTATACGAGCAATTACAGCTTCTATTTACAATTTACTTTTCATGTCTCAGGGGTTTTATAAAGCTCCAAGTTTTAGTGACTCCCTTAAAATGTACCTGTTCTTTACTTTGTGCCAGTCTGCAATACTTGGTCTTGGATGGCTCTTTGTACTGGAAGACCAGCAAGGTTTGGACAGAAGAAAAGAACCTTTCACATCTGCTTTTACTCTGTATCTGTATCAGCAACATATCTGTTAGTACTGCAGCCAATTTATGAGTCAACAGTAGGTCCCCTCTCTAATATGTTAAGCTGACTCTTCATCCTAGTTACAACCCATTTTGAGAAATAGTTTGTTTCCATTTCACAACCGATTTTTGTTTTTGTTACAGGTCCAATAGTGAACGATTTAAAATAATTTCCTGTACCTTTGGCTGAAACTAATTGTATTGATGTTAGCTTATACCCAAATCTTGAAACCACCCTTGACTATTCAAGAGTTAACACAGTGGTATTTACATTATTAAAGCAATTTGCCAAACTCAAGGCAGTTGTAAATGTGTAAATCTGTGACAAACATTAATCGGATTGCTCCCTTTCGTTACCTAAGAGTGTAAAGCTGCAAAGTGGCTCAACTCAATTTGGCTGGTTCTGAAGAGATTAGCTTTGATAATTTATCAAGGTATTACCATGGAAACTAAACAGCCTAATTTCTATTCCCCCAAGAACTGAATGAGTAACCTAAAATCTAATCATTTAAAGTTTGCACATTTAGGCTTGCAGTAATTTAAAGTCATTTTACACGGAATGCCAGACTTAATGTTCGATTTACCGTAACAAATCACAACTTCCTGACAGAAGATAATAATTAGTTAAAAACTATGTCAAGAAGTTCACTAATTGTACTTCCACCTGACACATCAAACACACTCAGAAACTGCACTAACTTAATCATTAATCAGATGCAACAAAAGTAAACCTATTCTTCACAGATTGAATAATTGCAGAAAAATGTTTAGGTGCATCAGGTTCAGTGGCTGGCTTTGCCCGGGTCAATCAGGGAGCTATAAAGAATGCCTTGTATTTACATAACACCTTTCACAATCATCAGATGTCTCAAAGCACTTTACAGACAACTTTTTGAAGTGCAGACACTGTCATAAGAAACATAGCAGCCAATTTCCACACAGCAAGCTCCTACACACAGCAATGGGACCATGACTAGATAATACATTTTTGTGATGTTGATTGAGAGATAAGTATCAGCAACATGCTTGAAATCTGCAACACAAACAGAAAATACTGCAAACACTCAGGTGGTATGACAGTTTCTGTGAAGAGAGAAACTGAGTTAATCTTTTCGGGTGAGTGACCTTTCATTGGAACACTACAAAAATGTTCAAAGCCTAATTCTGGATACAGCTCCATCAATATCTGATCTGTCTGATTTTGGGATTTTACCTGTCAAAACTAATTTTCTCCATGTATTAAATAAATTGCAGTCCTCAAAAATGTCTGGCAAACACTTGTCACATGGTGTTATTTTTGCACGCTGATATCACATGTAAGTAGCATAACAATTATAAAAATTGTGGAAGTTTATGTAATGGTGACATGTTTTATAAATAAGAAACTTTTTAAAAATTTAAAGACCTCATTCCTTTCAAAGTGATACCTTTCCATAAATCTCAGGAACATGTAGATTTCTAAGATTTAGTGCAGGAAACCTGCTTTGTTATTCCCCTGGTGTCGTTAATAACCAGAATTGGTTAACACTATCACCAGGAATCTGGAAGGTGCCTGTGATTGAATACAAAGCATACATCAAATACAACCATATTTCACCCCTGCCCCAGAACAGTTCCAAATGGTTTAGTGCATTACCCATGGTTTTGTTTTATTGGCATTATTTCTGTAAACTTTGTCCGTTTATTAGAGGTGTGGCCCTTCAGAGAGTGACTTCCAGATTCCCACCAACCTCTGGGTGAAATATGTCTTCCTTAGATTTGGTTGAGCTGTCTCTGTGTGTGTCATAAAACTGACCAGGGTGGGATAAGGTCTTCTTTCCTAGAGCCTATAAAGATTATAAAGCCTCCACCATTCACCGTCCGCATTTACATACAATTAGATGTTTGAGGTTATAGGACAGCATGTGTTACCCTGAATCTGTAGGCAGCAAGGAAGAAGCATCTTCTATAGTATATAGCATCTTCTATAGAAGCATCTTGTATAGGAATATACAGGGCAGCATGGTGGCTCAGTGGTTAGCCTCACTGGGTTCACTTCCACTCTCAGGCAACTGTCTATGTGGAGTTTGCATGTCCTTGTTGTGTCTATGTGGATCTCCTCTGGGTGCTCTGGTTTCCTTCCACAGTCCAAGGTTGGATTGGCCATGCTAAATTGCCCACAGTGTCCATGGATGTGCAGGCTAGCTGGGTTAGCCATGGGAAAAGCAGGGTTACAAAGATAAGGTGGGTCTGGGTGGGATGCTCTTTATAGGGTGGGTGTGGACACAATGGGCTGAATGGCCTGCTTCCACATTGTAGGGATTCTATGATTCTGTACAATAGTAACTACACTTAATAACTACTTCATCAGATGTAAAGTGGTTTGGATCTTCCTAAAGCTGTGAGAGGTGCTATAAAAAAGCAAGTCTTCCTCTATAAGAAATTGGATTAAGTCAAAGCATTAAAACGTGCTATATATATTGTTGGTCCTTTTCTCAGATTGCTTTGCTTGCATTTCAGTCCTGACAATTACAAGACAAAATGGTTCATGCTGCAAATTCTCTGAGTTTTGTAACAGCAAGCAGCAAAAATGTGGGTTGCTCATGGAAGGACCAAGGGGGAGGTACTAACTCAAGAAAATGTATCCACTTTGTTTTATTTTGCTGAACACAAAGGATCTTATGGCATTGATGCACAGAGATAGGACTTCATCCGATACATTTCCTGTTGGCGAGATATTGCTATGCACAAACTGGCATAACATCAATGCTTGTGAAGAATTTTGGAGCACCTTGAGGATTTTATCAGGGATTGAATAAGACCTTGTGTTGCAAGACCGGATGGGGTAGATGCAGGGAGATTGCTTCCCCTGTCTGGGGGTTGGGAGGTGGGGGCTCTAGCACGAGGGGACACAATCTCAGAATATGAGGTAGGACTGAGATGAGGAGCAATTTCTTCACTTGGAGGATGGTGAATGTTTGCAATTTTCTCCCCATCTGTGAATGCACAGTCGTTGAGTATGTATCAAATCAGTATCTTTCTGTTTAGTAATGGCATCCAGGCAAATCAGGATAGTGCTGGAAAATAGTGTTCAGGTACAACAGGGTTTCCCAAAGTGGGAACTGAAAGAACTGCGGATGCTGAACATCAGAATCATCCCGAAACATTAACTCTGATTTCTCTCCATAGATGCTGCCAGACCCACTGAGCTTTTCCAGCAACTTCTGTTTTTGCTCCCAGAGTGGGAGTTGGGACCCCAAGCCATTGAGTGCATTTAAGACAGAGATAAATAAGTTCTTCTTTGGTAAGAGGTTCAAGGGTTATAGGGAGAAGGCAGGAGAATGGGGTTGTGAAACATATCAGCCATGATTGAATGGCGGAGCAGACTCGATGGGCCGAATGGCCTAATTGTGCTCCTATGCCTTATGGTCCGATGAAGTTGCAAGCGAAGGTGGCAAGAGTTACTGTGAGGCTCTGACTAAGCTCTAACAGCTGTACTCCCCCCCGGAGAGGCCTTGCAGTCAGTCTCTCCTCTCACTGAGAGGGATTTTGAACTCTCACAGTGGGAAAAAACTTTTAAGACACAGGATCTCAGTCAGGTTCAAGGAGCCAAATAGCCTACTCCCCTCCTAGACCACCAGGTGAATTTTATTTCAAGTCTACGTTTCTTAAACTGTACATTGTTCCGACTATTTCTAATCTTGGGAAGAGAGACAGAGGAATGCTGAATTTACTTGGCTGGAATAAAGGAAGCAGACTATAGGAAAACGAGGAAGAGAGCTCTAATTCCGAAGAAGACATGCTGTATTCTTCTTTCTGACCATAGATGCTGCCAGACGTGCTGAGATTCCCCAGCAATTTCTGTCTCCATGTCAGAGCTCCAGAACCTGCTGTATTTTCTATTTGAGCCAGAGAATATAACTGGGCCAGGCTACATCACACAGAGGCTGTTAGTGTAAACACTGCACCCACTCGGCATGTGAAAGAGGAAAAGAAAACTTCCGACACATGGAATACTTTATCAAAGGCAAAGAGACTATTTCCTCCTGATGGCCGGAAGCAGTCGTCAGATTATATTTAGTTGTTGCACCAATCTCTGGCGGTGCGGCGAGAATACGGAAGTGCGGGACTTGGCAGGTTTGTGATACATTTTTAGCTTTCATTCCAGCTCTCCCCCTGTGTTTTGGGAGGTCGGTTCTGTGGGATTGGGAGGCTGAGGTTTGAATGTTTTGACGCTGCAACGAGGTCTCAGCGCTAGCTGCAAATCAGATGAGAAACGCTTCGAGTTCTTGCTGATGGAAACCAATAGGATTTTGGATACAAATTGTGAATAATTGAGACACTGTAGCGATCATCACTCAGGTCCTGGTTAAAGTCTAGCCCATTGCACTTTTTTTAAGGATAGGGATGCCATTCAGATCAATGGTGCACAGGTTTGAAACTGGAACAGAACGTCCCTAAAGCCTGGATGGGTAGCAGAGAAGAGGTGTTTACCTTGCAGGCGTGACCCTTTCAACAGAACAGGATACATCTGAAATGTTCAACGTGTCTTTTCTCTCTGTGGGTGTGTGAAAGCTTCCAGCATTGTCTGTTTCTGTTTTAGATTTGTCTTTTTACCAAAATTAATGCAGCAGGAACTGTGGCTCATGTGTCTGTTTTAAACACGTGGATACGATTGAAATTGACAAGCTTTTCCTGATGCAGTTTCAAAGAGTGAGCTTGTGTGATGTCCCTGTTTGTAAAGAAACTTTTTGACTGTCAAAACTCCTAACTCCAGGATCCTATCAATCTCCTTGGTCACTACTTGTGAAGGGGAGGTGATGGCCTGGTGGTATTATGGCTAGACTGTTAATCCAGAGACCCAGATAACATTCTGGGGATCCTGGATTCGAATCCCTCCACAGCAGGTGGAATTTGAATTCAATAAATATCTGGAATTAAGAATCTAATAATGACTCCATGAATCCACTGCTGATTGTCAGGGGGGAAAAAATACATCTGGTTCACAAATGTCCTTTAGGGAAGGGAAACTGCCATCCTTCCCTGGTCTACATGTGACTCCAGACCCACAGCAATGTGGTTGACTCTCAATTGTGCTGTCTAGCTAGTGACAGCCTCATCCCATTAATGAATAATGTTCTGGGGGATCAGGAATTCTCCCACTCTTGCCTGCCATAGCCAGATCAGAAGGTTGGGCTATGTGGCTATGAATACTACCCACTGCAACACAAGACCTCCGATCCCTGACTCACTAAACCCACTTGCTGAACTTCTCATCTGCGTCATTGTCACTTACCCAAAACACTCATTGGCTGCTGCACTATGGCAGCAAACTCTAGCACGAACACCTAGACCAGTGTGAGGACCTGGGCAAGAGGTGAAGGGAGTAATAATCAGACTCATTTCTGCACCAACATTGATGGTTCTCCCACACCTGCCCATTTATCACCACCCCACCCTTCAACTCTAATAACCCCCGTTATTGTCTGCAGCCACCCACACCATCTCTCCCTTATTACCACCCCGCCAGGCAGCACCAGTCCCTTACCAATCAAATCCATTGTGTATCCCTTCCCCTCACCAAGCACCACGCTTTGCCAACTTCCATTGTGTCAATGATTCATCCCTCTGTGCAATGGATTCAAGGCATCCATTAACAAATCTTGTCCCTGGTTTTACCTTCTGTTTCTCCCTCACTCCCCTTTTTATTGCTGACCATAAGTGAACAATAGTGAACATAAAACAAACCCGTCTTTCCACTCCATCATTGTCTTTGGCCGTTGTGTTCTCTGGATCACGTTCTCAAAGTTAGTTATGGATAATAGTTATGGAAATAATTATGGGAAACAAGGAAGTGGTAGAGGAGTTAAACAGATATTTTACGCCAGTATTGGTGGAAGATACTTAAAGCATCCCATTAAATGCTAAAGAATGCAGAAAGGAATTAAGTACCATTACAAGAAGCAGCATTAGAGAAACCCATGGGGTTAAAGGCAGATAAGTCCGGTGGTCCTGATGGCTCGTATCCAGGGGTCCTAAAAGATGTGGCTACAGAGACTGTGGATGCATTGGTTGTAATTTTCCAAAAAGTCCTTGGATTCTAAGCAATTGACAGAGGATTGGAAAATTGCCAGTGCAACACCTCTATTCAAAAAGGGATTAACGTGACATCTATTGGAAAGATGATGGAATCAATTATTCAGGGTGTAATTGCAGAGCATTTGGAAAATCATAACCTAATCAAGCAGAGTCAGCATAGATCCATGAAAGGGAAATCTTGTCTGACTAATTTATTAGAGCTTTTTGCTGAAATCTCAATTAGAATAGATCAAGGAGAACCAGTAGATGCATTTGTTTTTGGTGTTCTAGAACACGTTGGACAAGGAACTTTGCAAAAGGTCAAGCCATGAGATTCCATGGTGTTGGAGGTAGTATTTTGGCATGCATAGAGAATAGACTCATGGACAAGAAACAGTGAGCAGGGATAAGTGTCTCCTTTTCAGGTTGGTGACCAGTAACCAGGAGGGTTCCACAGGGATTAGTGCTGGGACTGCAGCTATTGACAATATGTATTAATGGCTTGGAGGGAGGAGGCAAATATACTGTCGTTAAATTTGCAGATGAAACATAAGTAGGTGAAAAGGTGAATTGCAAATGAGATACAAACAGTTTACAAAGAGATGTTGATAGATTAAGTCAATGGACAAAAAGCTGGCAAATGGACTATAATGTGGGAAACTGTGAAGTTGTTCATTTTGGAAGGAAGAGCAAAAGAACAGAATATTATGTGAATGGAGAAAAACTGCAGAAAGTCCAATGTAAAGCGACTTGGGGAGGGGTACTTGTGCACAAAATGTAGAATGCCAGCACACAGCTGAAACCAGGTAAACAGGAAGGCTAATGCAATGTTGGCCCTTATTTCAACGGGGTTGGAGAACAAGAGTAGGGAAGACTCACTGCAACTGTACAGGATGCTGGTGAGACCACACCTGGAGTACAGTTTGGTCACCTTCTTTAAGGAAAGATATCCCTTCATTGGAGGCAGTTCAGAGAGGGTTCACTAGGATGATCCCTTGTATTGGAGGGATTGTCTTATGAGCAAAGGCTAAACAGGTTGGGATTCTACTGACTGGAGTTCAGAAGAATGAGAGGTAGTCTCATTGAAATATACAGGATTCTAAAGGGGCTTGACAGGGTAAATGCTGAGAGGATGTTTCCCCTCTTGGGAAAGTCTAGGATCAGTGGGCATATTCTCACAATAAAGGGGTGCCAATTTAAGACTGAGATGGGGAGGAATTTCTTCTCTCAGAGGGTTGAGTCTTTGGAACTCCTTGCTGCAGAGAGCTGCGGGGGCAGAGACCTTGTGTAAATTTAAGGCTGAGATAGATTCTAGATGAGTAGTGGAAAATGCAGGAAAGTGAACGTGAGGAATATTGGATGAGCCATGATCCTATTGAAAGTTGGAGCAGGCTCAATGGCCTGCTCCTGTTTCTATTCCTTATGGTCTAAACCATTTCTACTTTTAAGAGCCTCCTTGAAGCGCATCTCAATTGTGCAATTGATCATCTTGTTATTTCACAACTGTTCAGGCTCCGAGAAGCTTCTCGCAATGCTCACTGCAGAAATTATCATTACAAATTACAATTATTACAAATAATTACAAATTATCTACAGTTCATTTTCATACTGGGACCCTGTATGCTGCTATTTTTGCAATTGCTCATACAAGTTTAAATTTACAAACACGGATATTACAGATATAAGTTTTATCTCTTGTTCACACATGGTGCATGCATTGATTTGATTGGCACACTTGGAGGATGAGGAAATTATGATTTATAAATAGGTTTCAGAGACTGTAGACTTCGTTATTTCCTCTGCTTTAATATTTCCCTAAGTTTGCTTCTTCTTGGAGATGTTTCTGTGCTAAGATGCTTGCGTCACGTCATTGGGTAGTTTTTTTTTGAATGAATGAATGAATGATTTTATTGTCACATATATCTTGATACAATGAAAAGTGGTTTGTTGCCACAATCTGGTGCCATTTCGAGCTGCAAAAAGAATAAAAAGAAATTACTGAAATGAGAGTTCACCTTCTATTCAAACTGGGGACTCAGACATGGCTCCAGGGCTTTTGAAAGCTCTCTGGGAAGTGTTCTGGGCCTCAAGGAGACCTGCTCCAGGAACAGCAACGATGATGCCAATGCCCCAGCAGACCCTGGCCCTGCTGTCTTCCATCATTACCAGTTGTCCCTGCTCTGGGCACTGCCGCTGCCACCAAGAGTACAACCTCTAGGTCTACCACCTCCAGGATTCCAGGCTCCAGGCATATCGCTGCCAGGAGTTCCCACTGCAGGCACTGCTGCCACCAAGAGCCCAAGCTCTGGGCACCTCTTGGGATCCCGACCTACACCAGTGATGCTGCAGCCCCCACCCCACTGACTCTACTCAGGCCTGGAAGATGAAGAAATAAAAGAGAAAGAAGATGAAAAGTACACAGAGAAGAGGAGTGGGTGGGCTCCAACAAACCTGAACTCTGTCTACCGTACCAGCACTTTCTTCTCTATAGCCGAGAGTTGTCACAGTGCAAAGTGTTACTGCCCAACGCAAAGTCATGATTGCAAAGAATTGTCTTATCCCTTTTTGACTTTAACTTTCAAAGGAGTTCCGAAGTTAACCTCAATCGACTCTCATTTGCAGTTATGGAAGGGGGCATTCAGCTCCTGTTTCTGATCGCTACGGCACTGCGAAGTATATCCGTTAGGTGAGGACAGGATGACTGTGATGCCTCTTACAGTCAAATATCTTCTTTTGAATAAGACATTTGGATGAGGTGGCTGAGGAAGTCAGGACTTTCAGACTGTACCTTTACCATAGTCCCAGAATGCTGCAGTCTCATTAAAGAGAGAGAGACAATTGGTGGTGAGTTACCACAGCTCAGGCAAGGGGCAAGGTTGAGAAAGTGAGCCCTTCAGGGTGACCTCAGCCGGTGCAGGAATTAAACCCACATTGTTGATGTCATGCTGCATCGCAAGCCAGCTATCCAGACAACTGAGCTAACCCACCAGCCTAAAAGGGAATTAATTTCCTCGAAACCTATTTTAAAAAAATAAATTACACTCATCAGAAAATGGCGA